ACACACACACACACACACACACACACACACACACACACACACACACACAGATAGTGCGCAGCGGCAGAGGCAAGTTTCATGTTATTTGGCGTGATAATTTGTGCAATTGTGGATTGCTGAGCAGCAACAAGAGGAGCTGCCCCCTCCCTCTGCCCGTGCCTTGGCCTCTTTCTAAGTCCAGGATCACTTTACTGGTTTGCTAGCTCAGCAATCGATGGACAGGGCTGGGCAGAGGGTGGGGTAAGTTTTAGGGTTTTTTTTTGTTTTTTGCGCTGGGCTTAGGGTTACGGGTTAGGGGTTACAGCTGAGATAACATACGCCAAAGGAAGCGTGAGGCAAGGCGTAGTTAAAAGGATGTGGCGCCATTTTGAAAGAGTAGCACATATATATATATATATATGTATGTGTATTTAGAGAGAAACAGAGGGCGAGTGAGAGAGACAGCATGTGCATGTAATTATAATATATATATTATAATACTATAGCATGCATTATGCCTTGATGAGTGAATATTTTATACGGATATCATGTAGTATATTGTGTATAGTAAGTATTATAGGATATGAACATGGCGTCCAATCTATCTTCAAATTCTATCCATAAGGTGGAAAGCAACAAACAGAGAATATTCTCTCAATATTACTTTATATATATTTATGTATATAAATTACATACATATATATCATTATGAAATATATATATTATCAATTCATCATGGATTTTGTGTCCTAACTCATAGAAATCACGGACAAATCATAGATGCATTTGAGAGTACAGTAAAACCTTGCAAAGTTGAATCAACTGCAAGAGCTTTATGTAATATTTGAGACACTTTGGAGAGAGGTATTATTAGAACAAAAGGGCAAGCAGATGAAATTTAACAGACTAACCAATTTTAATTCCTTTTAGGTAGGCCTTACTGCTTTACAGTAAGCAGATTAAATTTCCTTAAATATGTATAGGAAGTGGGAGAGAGAGAGAGAGAGAGAGACAACGCTACAAAGGTTGACCACAAAAACTACATGGAGAATGCTAAGGACTCTACGGGAAAAGCTTATGCACACAACTAGCTGTGCGTGTAAAATAGAAACAGAAACAGAGAGAGAGAGAGAGAGAAAGAGAGAGAGTTAGAGAGATAGAGAGAGAGCACACATTGATGCAGAAGAAATGATGAACGATATTTAATACATAAGGTTTTGGTGTAGATAATGATTAAGATTGAGGTTTATTATTATTGCGTTGATTTGGAGTTGTGGGGTTAAGGGTGGGGGTTTAAGGCGGGAGGCATGGACTGGGGGTCAGGCAGTTCCTTGTTTTTCATTTTCGTTTTCTTTTGAGTATTATGATAGAATTGTTTGTGATAAATACCTTGAGGTGCCAGCACCTTCCAATTGCTGCCGATCCAATGGCGGATCGAAGATTTGCTCGCGATCCTCTTTTGATAATTCCAAATCGGCGAATTGATCCAGTTCGGAAGCCATCTTTTTAACAAAAAAAAAAAAAAACTGTACCTTCTGCTTCTGCTGCTTGAATTTGAGTCGCTTTTGCTGCTGCGCTTCTTCTTCTTGTTGTTGCTGCGTTTAGGTTTTCCCTGTAGCTTGCTGGCTGGGTTCGGGATCGGGGGCTACTTTGCGCAGAATAATTCTTGAGAGCACGTTATTATATATATATATATATATAACTGAATATATATATATATAAATATAGAATAGATAATGGCAATTGTGTTTATTTGGTTGTTACTTTTGTTGTTGTTGTTTTTTTTTCGTTGATCTGACAACTCTTTGGCGAAAAACAAATCACGTTTCGCCTCTCGAAAAACACTGAGAAATTTTGGATTTAGTATTATTTGTATTTGATCTAAAGAGTTTTGAGTTCCGTTTAAAGTTTTCGCAGCTCGAATTTGGGTCGTGGAATGCTTCAAAAGGACGTTTTGCTATTTGAATTTTGGCGCTTAGGTTTTGCATTGACTCATGTCCTTGTGTCGGTTTTCTGTTCTCTTTTGTTTCGTCGTTTAAAGGTTTTTGGTTTCGCTTCTGATCTCGAGACCTAACAGAAATTTTGTTGGACTTTTCTAATTTTTCTTTTTAACTTAACAGTTGTTTCAATTTGATAATTATTATTGTTGCTGTTGCATTGCTTGCTTTAATTATTTCCACGCTTGATTTGATATTTTTGTGTTGTTCTTTTGGTTTTGATGTCTTTTTTTTTTAAAGTGAATTTCAAAGAAAAACTTTTTGCTGTCGTCCGAAATCGAGAAAAAAAAACTGTGTGATTGGCCGAATTAGGTGAAAACCTGAAACGTAGGAAGAAATTTAAAAATTAATAAAATATGCGATTTTCTATAGCAAATGTCCCTAACCAATCAAATAGCTAACTAAAAGCTTTGCTCTCTTATGTTAAAAGCTCATGTGACATTAACATTAACGATTCGAGTGCGTCTATGTGCGATCAGAGTATATAAAATGGCAGAAAAGTTGACTAGGCCATGTATACTCGGTCATACAATGCACGCGAATGCGATAGCAATATGAAAAGTTGCAAGCAAAAAATAATAATAACAAACAAACAATGGCAGCTACGTGAAAGCTCAATATTGAGCCACCCCCTACATTGGTGTGCGAGTGAGAGAGAGAGATAGTATGCGCGCAACAGCTGTTACAACGATCAGAGGCCGGCCGGCCGGTAAGCAACACGTTGCAACACATGTTGCTGGCTTACCAACCAACGAGCGAGTGAGAGAGTGAGCAAGCGACCTGCAAAGCTTTTGCCATTGCTTTTATCATTAGCTAGCAGCAGCAGCAGCAGCAGCAGCAGCAGACGCCATTGAGTGGGCGCACGCTGAGCGTTTGCCGCACTGCCATTAAAAGAGATTTACGCGTGAAATACTAAGAGAGAAAGCTTTGCAGCTGCTGTTGACGCTGTCGTCGTCGTCGCCGTCGTCGTCATGTTGACTTTGATCTTGGCCTGTGTGTGTGTGCGTTGGTGTTTCTTTTTTGGCAATTGTTTTTGTTGTTGGCATTTTTTTGTTTGTGTGGTGAATAAGTAGGCAAAACGCAAAAATCACGAAAGCAACACAAAAAAAAAAAACAACAATTTATTTCACGCAAAAAAATATATATACGAAAAGACAAAATAGAACAGCCCAAAAATGGGCAAAATAATTATTATGTTATTTTGTTTGTTTGTTGTAAATAGGCTTTCAACGTATATATTTATTTATTATTAATTTCTTACTTTGCCGATTGAAATTGTAGTTGTTTTTGTTGCTGCCGCTGTTTGTTGTAATTTATTTCTTTTTCTTTTTTTGCTCAGATGATGTCAGAGCGTGTTTAAAAAAACTTTTTTGTGTTTGTTATTTCTGCTTTGACTTTGTATTTTGCATTTGTTTTTTTGACTTTGCAGCGAGCGTCTTCTGAATTATACATGCGGTTTTTTTTTTTTATTTTTGCTTTTGTCGTTTTGTTAAAATTATGTAAAAATTAAAATAACAAGATATTTCAATTTTGCATGCAATTGTTTGTCACTGAATCGATACAACAACAAAAAAATAAAATAAATAAATATAATTTGAAAAAATTATAGCAGTTAAAACTGGAAAAGGTCGAACACAGTTTAAATTAGTTGGGTTTTCTCCTCTTTTTGTTTTTTTCTTGTTTGTTTTTTAGATTTGTAAAGGAAAAGGTACACTAGCACGCACACACATACACAAAGCTGCGGGCGGCAAAAACACGCACGCACTCACACATACATATGCAAGCACATACACTTACGCACACATAAACAAACAACAAAGAATATGCCACGAAAAGCACCAGCAGCAGCAGCAACGACATCAAAAAAGCAAAAGCTGCTGCTGCCCCGCCCTCTCTCTCTCTCTCTCTTTGCTTGCCCACTATGCTGCGCCCAGCGACGACTATCCCCACTGTCCCCCGCCAACACGACAACTACTTTACTTTTGCTTCTTCTTCTTCTCCTTCTCTGTTGTTGCTAATTATAAAACGTAACAGAAACAAGTACAAGTTTAACGGTAATCATCTTTCCTTGACTTTCTTGTGCATGTTGTTGGCAAATTTGTAAAATAACATTGCAGCGCTTAAGCTTTGGTATGCTCGTATGTACATATGTATGTACATACGTATGTGTGCGTGTGTGTGTTATTGGCTTTGAATGATTTTTGCTTTTCCACCTTTTTAATGTTCGGTTGTGTGGGACCTCGTTTGATTTGAACGTTTTGTGCGCGCTCTTTATTTTATTTCATTTCATTTTTTCTTTTATGTTCTTCTTTTTTTTTTTTTTTGCTTTTGCTTACGTTTAGGAACGAACGAACGAGTGCAGAAGCAGCAACAGCAGATCAAGATCACTTTGCGGTTTCTCGAAAATTGAAAATAAAACTATTTACGAACAAACACAACAGAGGAAAAAAAAACAATGAACGACGGCGGCGGCAACGACGGACACGTTAATGCATATTTCAACTTTTATTTGCGTTTCGTTTTTTCTTTTTGTTTTTTATGCTTTGCCTAAATGCCGAAAATATTTTTGCCAATAATGCTTTTTGACGACCTTCTTTCTGCTGCGACGTTCCAAATACAAATGACGGAAAGGAATTGTGCTTCCAAAATGACTAAAATGACCGAACGACGACGTGAATTCATTCTGGTGGCGGTCGACGCTGCCGTCGCTAGTGGCAGAGGCAGAAGCAGAAGCAGAGGCAGAAACAGCAACAGCAGCAGCGGCACCACCAGCAGAAGAAGAGCACAATAAGCGCGAGAGGGAATGCGATAGAGTAAAAACGGGCTCAACAACGCCAGCTATCGCAGCATTGAGTGCGTAACATTTATCACTTAACAGTTCCACTCAAGTAAATTTCGGCCGCCAACGCTCTGCCGCTGCCTTAACCGAAATTCCTATGCTCAATGCTCACACACACAAGCACAGCTACACAGCAGCGGCAGCGACAGAAGCAGCAGCAGCAGCAGCAGTAGCGACAGTGAAAACGACAGCATCGACCGCGACCGCATTCAAGCGAAAGACAACACAACCGCTCACTGGTATATGTTCTCATATGTGTGCCTGAGTATGCGTGTGAGTATGAGTGAGTTGTGTGCTTTTGCCGAAATTTAATGAGAGTGAGCCGAATAAGAGAACGAGCAGCAACGCCAAATTTAGCAAACCGAGTGACTTTAGTCTTGGGACTAAATACAGAAATTTCAAACTCAAAATTTTAACTCAAATTTGACACAGAGCTAAAACAATTAAGAGAGCCGAAATGCCCAAATTAATAAATTATATAATTATGTGATCGAATTTAGTCGCGTTAAATAATAAAATAGCATTTGGCACAACAAGTTGAGTAGATTTCATTTCTGGTTGAGCTCAAGAGACACTCAAACCATGAGCTGTGACGCTGAGTCGGGACTCGGAGTCGTGATACGGAGCCGAATTGCAACTCAAAAACGGGGCGCGCAGCCTGGAACTGGAAACGGGAGCTTTGGCCACGTATTGGGAATATAGCATGTGTGACTGTGTGTGTTGTGTGACTGTATATATATATATATATGTGTGTGTGTGTGAGCAGATGCTAGGATAATGTTGCGCTACGTCGCTGTCGACGCTGGCGTTGCCAAAAAATTTAATGCGGCGACGTCGTCAACGACGACGACGACAACGGCAACAGCAACAGAAACGGCGACGGTGACGGCGACGACGGCGACGATGGCGGCGCTTAAGCTCTAAAAAGAAAAAGGAAGCAGCAAAGGAAGTGAACTGTGAGCACTGTGTTTCGAGCTGTTAGCACCGAAGGCAAATTGAACCTCATATGTATATATGTATGCATATGTACATATGTACATATGTCTATACATACAGACGTATGTATGTATGTATTTTGGAATTTGCGAATAAAAAATAGAATAAACTAAAGTACACACGAGTGTGCTCGACCCACACATACCCATTAAGGGCGAGCATTGACAAATTCAATTGATTTTCATTTCCAGTACAATGATTAGGATAGGCTAGCCTGTTTAACACATAGACCCACTCAAACTGCACAACAACAGGGCATTCTTCAACAGCTGAAACTTACATACATACATACATACATATGTATGTGCATATGCCAACAAATATAGCAAAACAACAAAGCCATGCAAGAGGATAGAGCAGCAGCTAAGTAGAAGAAACAACTTCAAGATTGTATCTAAACAAACACACACACAGATAGACATACATACATACATATAAAGACAAATATGTCATACACACGTACATACAATACACACATATTAAGCAATTGATGAGTTATTGAATTCGTTTATAGTACATAGTTTATATATAAATACAAATATGTGTATGTATAAATGTTTATATATATATTAAAATTTTCAACAAACATATACTTAATATCAAAAGATATAATAATCATCTATGTAAAGGTAATTATGACTTCTACAAAATACCATTTATAAGCCTAGCAGCTGTTCTACTTGGCTACGCCGAATAAATATTTAAGACTTTTATAAAAATGCATTCCATATGATAAATGTGTGTGTGTGTGTGTGTTTTTATGCATACAGATATATTTTTTAAAACATTGTTTATATTTCGAGCAATTAATTTATGCAATATTTTATACTTTTTATTGTTGCTTCTTACCTACGAAAATTGTATATATGTATGTATGTATATATGTACATATGCAATTTTAAAGTAATTTAATACTTGAAATATGATATGCAACAATTTTAATATTTCAAATATATGTGCATATTTTAATTTATTAGTACTTTTTTAAATAGTTTTGATGTGTGTGTGAAATTTTTTTATATAGATTGAATTTGTTAAATTAATCAAATTAGTTTTAAGATTTAGAGAATAAAATATTTTATTTTTGTTCTGGCAGTTCTTTGATTTTGCCTGATTTTTTGTGTTAAAAAACAAACTTTAAGCATGTACAATTCTTTGAATTTTTTTTATTTTTTACTTGCTTAAAAACCAATTAAATTTGTAGTCTCTAATGATTTAATTGAAATGAAAAGAAATACTTGCAATAATTTTGTTAGGTTGAATATTAATTAAATGAGAATAGACCTTTATATATGTATGTTTGCATGTAAATATAAATAATATATTGTGTGCATATATCTATGCATGTATCAATTATAAATAAATCATATTTGAGAGCCGCTCAAGAAGTAGATTAAAAAGAAATCGGAATGGTGCTTAACTCTCTTGAAGTTGAAAATATTGTACAAACGCCCATAGAGGCGTGGCACAATAGACTTTATCGATTTACTGAGAACAATTGCTGCAATATTATGTAAATGTGAGAATGTGAGAAGAGCGAGGATAATATGATAAGAGCAAGAGGAGGACTCTGCAGATATTCAATGCAGACGAGAGGCATTGCCGCCACTCGTAAGGCACTTGCCATGGGCCACAAAGAGCACTTGTTGCACATGCAACTGCACTTGGCATCTCTCTCTCTCTCTCTCTTAATGTCTCACTCGCACTCTTCGGTTGCAGCAGGGTTAGCCAAGGGACAGCAGAGCACGCGTCACAATCAAAACAAAATCAGCGAGAAGCAGCAGCAGCAGGAGTAGGATGAGGCAGGATAAGAGCTGTAGAAGAGGAAGGTGGCGAGGGGCAGAGAGGGATGCGGGGCCTCTTCGTTCGGTTACTTTTTTATTCCGTTTTCCTCTTTTTGCATTGCAATTGCAGTTGTTGAAGGTGACATTAATTGACGTTTAATGAGCACAAGCGACAAACGAGGGGTGGCGCATGCATGTCAAGGAAACGAACAGAGACAGACAGACACAGAGAAAGAGAGGGAGAGAGAGACACTGATGGAGAGAGACAGAGTGAGAGTGAACGAGTGCGAGTGCGAGTGAGAGCAGGCGTGAAGCCAATTAAAGTTGAAAGCTTTTCATGCCTTTTTATTTGCCAATATTTCAAGACGCACACCAGAAAAAGTGCATCCTCTCGCTCTCTATGTGTGTGTGCGTGTGTGTGCGTGTGAATGATACAAAAGGCATCATGCCCGGGGGTTAAAGGTTATATGTAGAAAAAGGGGGTTGCTGCACAATGGCCTGCATATTGAGCACACAATCCCTGCACGCTGCAGCCTCTGCTGAGCAGGGGTTCGACGTTGGCTGCAGAGGGTGCTTCAGTGGGCGTGCAATTTGCATTGGCTATGCAACCGGCGAAAGGGCAAAGAGTTGCACGGCCAGTGGGTGGGGCAGGGGCAGGGGATGTGGTGATGAGGTTAGCAATCGGCAGTCGTCAGTCGGCGAATGATGTACGAACGCGACTCGTTTTGTGGCTTGATTTCCAGTTGCAACAGTCGCCGCAGCTGCACACGTACATCTGTGTGTGTGTGTGTGTGTGTTTGTGGTTGTGTGGGTGCGTGTGCTTGTGCTTGTGGCTGCCTGCACAACAAGTGCAACACAAAAATGGCGCGCGCAGCAACTGCAGCAGCAACCCTGCAAAGTATGCAATAAAAAGCGAATGCGTACTGTGTGCATGTGTGTGTGTATGTGTATGTGTGTGCAGAAGAGCGAGAGCCAGACATAGGCCTGACAAATGGCAACGCTTATATTTATGTATGTCAGCATGTGCGTGCTCTCTATGTGGACATTGCAATGCGAAGTGCAAGCAGGCAAGCTTTTCTGTACGTGTGTGTCTGTGTGTGGGTGCGTGTGTGAAGGCGGGCAAAGCGAAGCTTCGGACAGCAGATCAGCGAAACGATTAACGCAGAGTCATTGAGCGAATGGCAAAGCGCAGAGCTGTAAGTGTGTGCGTGTGTGTGTGTGTGTGTGTGTGTGTGTGTGTGTGCGTGTGTGTGTATGCGTGCGTGTGAGAGTGTAAATTCAAATGCAATCGAATGTAGACAGACATGCAGAAATACATACATGTTAAGCCTAACAGAGCTTTTGCACTCAATAACAGCTGTTAGCTAGAGCGAGAGAGATAGACAGCGTGGGAGAGTGCGGGCGAAGTGTGAAAAGGTGTGTGAAGCAAATGACAGAGCGTAGGCTGAGTGCATAAATGTGTGTACTTGTGTACGTATGTACATATGTATGTATGTATGCGTGTGCTTGTGCGTGCATTTCTTTGGCTGCAACAAAATGGCGAATGCTGAAAATGTTAAGTGTGGAGCTTGAAAGCAAAAGCAATTGATCAAAGCAAAGCAACAAGGCGAATGGAAAGAAAGAGAGCGAGACAGAGAGAGAGAGGTGATGGCGTGTGAACAGTTAACAGTTGCTATGTCCTGCAGCTTTGACACTGACAGCGAGAAGCAGCACAGATAGCTGACAAAAAAAAAGTGAAATAAATTAAAAAATAAAAATATAAATCAGCAAACAATGGCAAAAAAAAGGAAAAACAAAAAAAAAGCAAGAAATGTTTGCGTCTATTGTGCGTAGCGTGTGAAGCAATGCCAGAGCGAAAGACCAGCAACAGGATGAAAGGGGCCAGGACGAGCGCCGGCACAAGCTGTAGAAAACAGGACATTAAACAATTATACAAGCCAGCCAAAAAAAGTACAGACAGCAAACACACACACACACACACATACACATACACAGAGAGACAAGTAATTCAATAAGCTGAAACGGGCCAAGGGGCTGCGCGGGGGGGAGCATAGCAGATAGAACTAGTCTGTACAG